TCGAACCCAGAAGTTCGATTGTCTGCCGCCGAACCAGCGCGTAAGTATAGACAAGCCCTTAGAAACTAGTAAATCCTTCTTTGTCCATGCTAGATAAATAGTCTAGTGGAGAAAAGAGGAAGTCCAGCAATTGAGGAAAACTTTACAGTTCTTCAAGATCTAGAAGAGAGTACACACAACCTCAAATCCTGAGATCAAAGGGAAAATTAATCCTCTGGAACAGGACAAAAGCAGTAAAGAAGTTTTTCCAAGAGGCCATTTTCAGGGAGCAGCTTTTGGGCTCCTGCTATTTTAGTCATTTATTTTCTTCTGCCCTTATCTTGCATCCCTTGTCAGGCAGACTGTACCAACGGAATAGTCTATGGGGACGTCCCTTTTCTTCTTTGAGTAGTTTCCCTATGGGTGCTCCACTGTAGGTGAGTGTGCGCCCCTACGCCACTGATCAGAGAAGTTCAACAGCAGTCCATCCCGCCCACACGCACGGCTCCCCACCCGCCACAAGGCCAGCCAGCATGCGCAGGCATTTCCTCCTCAGTTCTTTCTCAACCATCCCTGGCTAGAGACTGAGGTAAGAGCTGTCCGTTCATGGATCATTAACTCCCTATAGTTTTGCAAATTTTAGCTTCGTTTGAAGCCTTTTCCTTTTAGTACCTTGTTTGTTTTTAGTTGGCCGTGCCAAAAAAAAAAAGAGAAGAGAAGAAAGGGTTTGCTTCCCACCAACCCCAGTGGAAGAGAACCCCCCCTAGACAAGGCTATTCCTGGCTCTCCAGGCTTCAAAAAGTGCCTTATCTGCAAAGAATCCATCCCAGCGATGGATGGACACTTGCAGTGCGTTCGCTGCCTGGAGGAAAAGCACAATCCACAAAAGTGTGGTTGGTGCTAACAGCTAAAACCCAGTATCAGGGGGTAGCCGTGTTAGTCTGTATCTACAAAAACAACAAGGAGTCTGGTGGCACCTTAAAGACTAACAGATTTATTTGGGCATAAGCTTTCGTGAGTTAAAACCTCACTTCTTCGGATGCATCCCAGCTAAAACCCAGGTCCAGGAAGGCTTAAACTGCTGCTCATGGAGTTGGCCCTTCAACCCCCGGAGTCCCAGCGAGAGCTGTCACCGCAACCTTCTACTA